AAAATAAGAATCAAGATGCATTATGTAAAGGTACAATTCCCAATGAGAAATGTAATTGTGTTGTATACCTACAATGTACCAATAAAAGAATTTAATACAAAAAATACATTATCATTTTAAACGCTAATATTCAAATGTATTACCTTGAATAAAAGTTTTCACTGGGTAGGAGTCTTACAGAATTCTAGGTGCAAAAGGTTGTGAATAGTATATACCAGTACACACACATACACATATCACTTGATTTAGCCTCACTAATGTCCTCACTAGCTGCTGGCATCTAAATCTGACACTTATTATTATCTTTTCCACATAGAAAATGTCAGAGGTTCACAATATGTTAATTACTTGACTACAGTTTAGTAGACATAGGATATTTTCCTATCTATTCTCTCTTTGGTATCTGAAAACATAAAGTATTATATCTTAGGTAACCATGACCCCAGGCCCCAGAAACATAGATATTTCTGAGGCTGAAAATAAAAGTAATTGGAGGGAAGAATATTTACAATATGCACTCAGCCTTTCTTCCTCCCGTACTATTCCTCTCCTATTAATTATGGGAGAAAAAATTCAATAAAAATGTGAGTTTTGGTATTTTTAACTTAATGAGCCAAGACTTTTGAGCTTTAAAATCAAGGCTTTGAAGTAAAAAGAATTTATATTTTAGCATTTCAAAATATTAAGTCCTAAAGCATTGGTTCTGAATTTTGTTACATAAATATATGTTTGAGAAAAAGAAAAGAAAAAATCTAGCCTGATGCAGAGGAGATTCCTTGTAGAGTAGAAGAGAAGAATAGCAGATGAAAATGTCAGAAGGAAAGCAAATTTGAGAAATACATGGGAAGAGTACTAGAAATGTACCAATTATGAAATCATATTCTCTACTGAAATAAAAAATACATAATTTCTTTAAAAATGAGATCAAAGAGGGGTGACACTAAATTATAACTGGAGTCACCAAATTAAAAAAAACATTAAATCTAACTTTGACAGCACTGTTGAGAAACTGCATAATTTTATGATTCACTGATTAAAAAAACTATTTGCAGAAATTATCAGAGTTGATCTATAGTATGGGTAAATGTTTTTCAAAAATTTAACTTTAGAAGTTATATTATCACAGGATCAGAAGTTATCATAGCAAGTATTTGATTTTTGCAAAACTTTACCAGACAAGTGATCACAAAATGACTTCAAGAAGAATAAATTTGACTCACCTCTAATATATGATCAGTTACAAAGAGTTTGTTTTCTTGTTATCAAAAAATTATATTTCATATGTACTACTTTAAGTCAGTTTTCTCTACTATAAAATAAGTCCTTCCTTGATAGCTACATCCCCACAAACTACATGGACAAATACCAGTTCTTACGTTGTAACTACTAAAACGTAATTAAAAAAGAATTTTGTATGGAATGTGTAGCTCCTCTCTTAAATTTTATTCACTGTAAAAGATCCTTTTTTTGAAATCAGGAATTTTTTAGAAATGAAGAGTATTGATACAAATGTATAGAATGTTGACAACTCCATATTAATGGTATAAAACTGAATAGATTGTTTTCTATGGATCCCAAATGGTACACCCCAGTTTCTGTGATTGTTCCCTCATTCCATTTCCCCCTTCATAACCAATAGATCCTAACGGGAAAGACGTTACAGATTTTCTTTCCCAGTCCCTCTTCCCAGTGCCATACTGCCTTGGCCAAGTCCAAGCCTGTATCATCTTTCTCTGAATTTACTGCACTAGGGTAATGGACCTTCAATCTCTTTCTTTAACAACCACCTCCTATCCTCAATGAGAGGCCCCTTCTAAAATTCAAATCTGATATTGCACAAAGTTTGTCACTTACTTGCCTAAAGTCCTCCAATGGCCACTGTCTAAGCTTCTCAGAAAGAAATATAAAATTTTAGCAGTAACTGAAACCATACTGTAGGGTAAAGTTAGATATTTGCTGTCCCTCAAAAACATTTTCATACTTCTGCCCATGTTTGAAAGGGTTTAACTCAGAAGTCTTCCACTTGTTCCATGAATAATCAGCTACTCATTCTTTGTCACAGAATATTAAACACTGTTGGGTGCCTAGTTCTGTGTTGGCACCAGGGATCTACAAGTAAACAGGACAGTCCCTGCTTGCTAAGAAATACATGCTGGTGAAAACCTACAATAATTAAACAATGTTTAAAGTTACACATTTGAAGATGGTAAGGGAGTCAAGAAATAGCTGCAAATAAGTGAACACTTTAGTTTTCTATGCAAAATAAACAAAACACAGGATGGGAAAATACGCAATTTGGAGGAGTTTTTATGGGACTGAATCATGATAAAAAGGAGACAGAAGCAAAATTGTATTCAGGCTTATTGATGATCATAAGATAATTCCATTTTATTGAGAAAGCACTTGGAGCCATTAAAAGTTTTCCAGAAAGCAAGTGACACTGTCTTTAGGGTAGCAATGTGGGAAGAGAAAAACAGTGAGTAACCTGGAGGTTATGACCAAAATTTAGGAAAGAAAAACTGGTAATCTGGGTGAAAAAGCCTGCCAGGAAATATCATGAATAGTGATATGTTTTTAGTATATGTGCTGCCAAAGCAAGCACCAGTAATATATTTTTTAAAAACTACACTTGAGGATCAGTGGAATAGATTAGAAGATGGAGAAACAACTCAAGACATACTCAGCCACCTCATTTTTGACAAATGAGCCAAACACCTTCACTGCAAAAAAGATAGCCTCTTCAATAAATGGTGCTGGAAATACTGGCTTTCCACTTGCTGAAGATTAAAACTAGACCCATATCTTTCACCATGCACTAAACCAAAATTGAAATGGATCAAAGATCTAAATATAAAAACAGAAACATTTAATTTGCTGGAAGAAAGAACAGGCAGAATTCTCAAAGACATTCAGGTAGGTAAGCAAAGACTTTATGGACAAAACCTCAGTTCCAGAGGAACTATCATGAAGGATCAACACCTGGGATCTCATCTTATTAAAAAGCTTCTGCACAGAAAGAGAAACAACCAGCACAGTGAAAAGACAACCCACAGTATGGGAAAAAATTTCACCAACTGTTCTTTAGATAAAGGACTAATATCTAGAATATATAAAGAACTCAAAAAAAATCAGATGGTCCTCTAGATTTAAAGACTCAATTCAAAAATGGGCATCTGAAATGAACAGACACTTCTCAGTTGAAGAAATAGAAACAGCAAATACATACATGAAAAAAATGTTCAAGATCACTGGTCACTGAAGAGATGCAGAAGAAAACAACACCAAGATTCCATCTCACTCCAGAAATAATGACTGCTATCAAGAAATCAACCAATGGGCTAGGGATTTAGCTCAGTGGTTCCACAAGCACAAGAACCCGAGTTCCATCCCCAGTACAAAAACAAAAAAGAAAAATCAAGTAATAACAAATGCTGGAGGGGCTGTGGGGAAAAAGGAACCTTTCTCCACTGCTGGTGGGAGTGTAGACTGGTGCAACCACTGTGGAAATCAGTGCGTAGATTCCTCAAAGAACTAAAACTGGAGGTTCCATTTGACCCAGCTATTCTCCTTCTTGGTATGTTCCTGAAAAGCATCATACCTCAGTGATATAGGTGCACTCATGTTTATAACAGCACAATTTATAATAGCTAAATCTTGGAAACAGCCTAAATGCCCATCAACTGATGAGTGGATAAAGATGTGGGGTTTTTTTTATACAATGGAGTATTACTCTACCATAAAGGATGAGCCTGAGACATTTATAGCTAAATGGATGCACCTTGAGACCATACTCTTAATTGAAATTAATCAAACACATATATTTACTTTCTCTGGCGTAAGAAACCAAAATGAAATAAGGACTAAAACACAAAATAAACGCTGGGAGATGGGAAGAAAATGATCAAATGAGAAAGGGAATAAAAGAGGGTTGAGGGGTAAGGAAAGAAGGAGCAAGAAGAAAAAAATTCGAAGGAAAAAATGGAACAAAACTTTTTACATATGGAGGGGGGAATGGGGAAAATAAGTAGCAACATATATGATATGCAGGTACAAATTCCCTATGATGAATGTTATCATTATGTGTATCTAAAATATACCAATAAATGTTTTGCTAAAAAAATTAGCAATCGTAATAGAAGGGAAAGTAAGAGCTTTAAGACAATTTGCTATGTCTTGAAATGTCCCTTACTGTGACTGAGAAGATGACTATGTCACTCATTGAGATTTTTTTTTAAATAGGGCCAGGGATTTAGCTCAGTGGTTCCGCCACCTGCCTTGCAAGCGCAAGGTCCCAAATTTGATCCCTGGTACAAAAAAAAAAAAAAATGCTACAGGGCCTAAAGTAGCAGTGGTGGCATACACTAAGTCCAATAAACAATTTTTGAATTAACAAATGAATAAAAAGTAAGGAATTAACCATCCCATTCTCAACATGTTCAGTTTGAGATTTCTCTGGATGAGAAATCAAGTAGAATGCTACTTTTGAAACTTAGTATGTATAAACAACCTCTGGGAATCTCGCCAATATGCAGATTCAGATTTAATA